AATGAAAAAGTGCTTTTTTCGTATTTCCGAACATTTTACGGACACTTTAGTTACCTTCGAGAAACTTCGAATCAAATCAATTAGATATCATTTTATAGTTCTCGCTTTGCTCTATCGACGGATATACAAAAGAGAGCGACTTACATGAAAAAACATGTCAAACAATTCTAAGCATAGTTCAGTTGTAGGCTATAGAACCATGCAAGAGAGCGACATACTACTTCTCATGATTAATCTCTTTAATGAAATAATACTGAAACAATAGTGCTTCTTATATGCTATAACATATAATTAAATACTCTTTCTAATCAGTGTAAAGTGAGTTTAGTTCATAGCGTGAAGATTCTATATGATAAGCTAATATTAAACAAGTACGGGTCCAATGAAAGTCGAATACTTCTTTTGTGGATAATTGATCGTGAAAGTGACCTGTAATTCTCAGAATTTCACTTAAATTCATAATGAAAACATTCACCTCATTTTTCTACATAGGTTCACCAATAAATTGACTTCATGAATTTTTGAGTCCCTTGATGCGAAAAATACATGTTTCAAAAGTCTTACTAAGAGAGATTGAAAGGTTCATAGGAAGGAGGAGTTGGGCCACCCTGACTTCACGTCACTGGAACAAATTATGGCTTGCTCTGACAATACTTCATTCGTACTTGGGGCTACCGAAGTCTCCTTTTTTCCTCTTGTCATAGAGTGCATGTCTGGATCAGGACGAAGAGCCTCATCTTCACACGAAGCACTATGAAATATATGCAAACATATGTATGCTGCAAAAAATGGTAACATTCGATGATCTTTTATCAAAATAAAGCATCTGTACATTTATATTTCGTAATAAATACTATAAAGGATGGCCAAAAAGTGTCGACCCCTCTCAGTAAATTGATAATACCTATGACAAATCTGTATACGGTTAATTGGTCGAAACATGTGATTTTCTTGAGAATGATTCAAGCTATCATCTGAAAAAACATACCCTCGAATACCATAAATGCAGTACAATATTATGACCATTCTACTAATCTTGAATGAATATTTTTATATAAAACTTTTTGAGAAAAATCTTTAAAAAATTATTTTTTTAATAGCAGCTGTATCTTTTGTTTCTGCCCACAAAGATTTTTTTATAAGACTAATAATTTCAATGAATTGATATTTATTATATAAGCTGATTATCATTGCACTTTTATAAAACTTCATATTGACAGTCTTATCTTATGAAGTTTACTGTTTCCAATTTGTTTTCTGATATGCTAATTGCTTGACTTTATCTTTCCGACAGCTTTACAGTATTTCACAGTAAGATAGACGGAATATAACCAATAAAAAACTTGTAAGGTATCATTCAACAAAATTCAAATAAATATAAAGATGTCAAGCGGAAAATTATTGCTACATCAACAAATTTTTATGTAGAAAAATATGAGAAAATGATTACCAGTATTTCAAAAAGGTTGAAAACAAAGTTAATACATTACAAAATTTCTTTATTGATATTTATACAAATATCAATCTGATAAACATATAAATCATTTTAATATTTTATTGAAGAAAGTTTTTTAATTTTTCTTTAAAAGTGTAAGATAAGAATATTTATTCACAGCTAGTCAAATGATCATAATATTATACTACATTTATGCATTTGGAAATGTCCTTTTTTTCAGATGATGCCTCGAATCATCCACTGCAAAATTACATATGTTGATCAGTTATCATGTATATGTTTGTCATAGATATCATCGATGTACTGACTGGTGCAGACACTATTTGACTATTCTTTAGTAATTGAATTTTTTAATGAAAAGATTATTATCAACAAAGATAAGAACTCTCTATGGTAACATTTACGCATACTTATCTATTCTAAGTGTCTAAGAAATTAAAAATCATTAATGTTCAATTGTATTTCAAATTTAATGTAATAAAAGAAAAATACTTTTTTGTCAAAAACTGTTTTCATTTTTGTTAGTTGAAAAATTTCCTAGGTTCTAAAAAATTCTTTATATATCTATAATTTCGAAAGGAACCATAGTAAATATCATCTAGCAAAAACCTTTTTTTGTGAGACTTTGAGTGTGTACATTGTTATTTTGCTGATAGTCATCATAGTGATATAACCAAGGACTGTTAGTCTATAAAAGACTACGAAACTTTTTTCTTTCTGTTTACAATCAGGTTACTTCGATAATAAGCATGGATTCGAGACCTACACTGTTTCATAACGGTAATGACGATAACAATTCACAGCAGTAGTCAAAAGGGCGAATATTTTTAGCAGAACAACAGCTCACCACGGAAATACCATATAGCTTTGTTTTAGGAAATCGTCTTTCAGCAGCACAACCTAACAATCAACAAGGTCAATGGTATACAACTCCTGCCTATCAACAAACAAATAATGTCAATTATGAGGTAGAATTACTTAAACACCTATCGAGCGATTTCGGCGACTTACTCAATCGATCGAATCTTAGTGATTGTTTGCTTAAAATTAATGGTAAATCATATTTGATGTGCCTATACAGTGCTGGCTAAAAATATAAGATCAGACAGTTTCTTAACGTTCCTATTGATAACAGTTTATGTGTATACACTTATGCATTCAGTTGCACTCTATTTGAAACTGAAGTCAGATTTTCTCATTTCGCATGTTAGAGTCGAGAAAGCACATTTTGATAAAAAATTCTATTTTTCGCCTGTACCTAAAAAAATGTCAGTCTAGCTCAGATTTCTACATATAAAAGCCATATTATACATCGGACTGCTTTTACCGCAGTTTTACGCAATCGAAGACACTTTTTGTCACAAAACGAAAAATCTTCGAAGCCTGAGAATCATTTCGTTAGAAAGAGAACGCCATTTCTAAATTCAAAATTCTAGAAATCTGCAGTTTTAAGCCGAATTCGATACCAAAACTATTATTTGTCATTAACTTGGTGCTCCATTTCTAACAATGATTTTCAGCTTACAAAGGTATCCCATTTTGTGGTAAAGCGTGTGTTCTATTGCGTAAAACTGTGAAAAAAGTACTTCCATGTCTATTTTGCATCTTATATGTAAGAATCTGAGCCATACTGGCATTTTTTTAGGAACACCCAAAAACTCCAAATTTTTATAAAAATGTGTTTTCCTGAGTTTGGTATTCGAAGTGAGGAAATCTTAGTTCAGTTTCGAACAGAGTCCAACTGAATGTATATGTTTATAAATATATAAACTATTATTCATAACAAAAAAGGAATTGCATATATATGTCAAAAGCGTTAAAAAATTGTTTGGTCTTCTATTTTTGGTCGCCACATTAATTTTCAATAGATATTCTATGAACTTAGTTCCTTTTCTAATAGATACTTACATGGCTGTTCATCGATGTGTTCTTGCTGCTCGTTCAAATACTTTTTCTGGTAAATGATAATCAAATACAATTAATATTTTAATAATATTTAAAATGTTCTTTTTTTCCTCATAGCTATTATGTCGGGCAATAACAGTCGACTTGATCCTGATATAAAAAAAGGACTTGAAACATTTGTGAAGGATGATAAATTAATAATTTCTATTGGTAAAACTTCTCTCGAAACAATGAAACAAGTTATTATATTTATGTATACAGCTAAATGTCAACTAGATGAACGCAATGGTACATTTTCAATTATTTTATTTTTTCATGAGTCTTAAATAATGATATCTCAATATTAATTTTTTTCTATTTGTAGCATACGGCCTTCTTGATGCTGCTGGTCGATATGATATTAAAAGTTTAAAAGAATATACTTCTCAATGTAAGTTTTATTTTTTCTATAACATTTAAATTATCATATGTACATGATTTTTCATCTTCATTAAGTTCTTGTTAATGATATTAAAATAGATAATGTCTTGAAGTATTTAGGAATTGCATATAAATACGATAGTAAATTACTTACACAAAAATGTATTGATTATTTTATTGATAATGGCAGAGAAGTAATGGATAGGAAGGAATTGTGGGAAAGCTTCTCTAAGGATCACAAAGGGATTGTTGCTGACCTTGTTTATTGGACTGTTAATAAAGACGAATACCGCCAAGAAATAGCTCAACCGCAGTTACATTCGCAATGGTAATTTAGAAAACAATTATTCAATAAATATAAAAGATGAACAGTAAAAATAAAAAATATGTCAATAAAGTATTTCTTTTCTTACATTAGCAATACATCTTTTTGTTCTTTGCCATGATTTTCTTGTATTAATTATTTTTTGTGTTAAAAAAACAATAAAAGAAACAGTAAACCACCGGAAAAAAAGAACAATCAACATGATACTATGTACATCATCAAATTGGTAAATGAACTTGACCATAAAAGTCAATTTCATCGTCAGAAGTACTACCTGGTTTGTATCATCATCATCAAGCTAAAATAATTATAACAAAACTACGTTATATAAAGATAATTTTTAATGAAATCTACTTCAGTAAGTTCACGTTCTGTAAAAATAAATGAGAGACTGAATGTTCGAAATAGTCGAAGCAAAGTGAGTGTTAACGGGAAAAGAAATGCAAAATTTGTCAGTTTAATTGTAATTAATAAGCACACAATAGTTACATTTATAAATGTACATATATATGGTGAGACATTTGATAAACCTTAAAACAAAAAATCTTTAATATATGCTTAGAACGAGCAGGAAAGAGTTAAGTTCACAAGACTTCGTGAGAATTCGAAGACTTCATATGTCTTCACGAAACTTCTGCCATAGATTCACGAAAAATCGAATTTATCTCGTTTTTCTTTTCTGCTTACACGCATTTCAAAACTTTAAGAATATTTCAGTCTTTTCAGTCCTCTTAGCATGTGAGTATGGGTATGAGTGTAAGCATGCTTGTTGTCTTTGCTCTCACCTACCTACACACACATGCACATTCTAAAGGGACTAAAACGAAGTAAAAAACTACAAGGAGTAAAGGAACTAAGATAAACTAAACGAGCTACAGGAACTAAAGGAACTAAAAGGTAAAAAATATGATAGTCATAGAACCTTGAAAAGAAAGAAAATGAAATAGAATAAGTTTAATTTATCCTGTGTTCTTCATTTCGACAAACTTGACGACACTTTTAAACTTTATGAGACTTCAAAAACTGAAATATCTGCTGTTCCTCCTTGATTTAGATCGTATGAATTTTGTGTATACTGGTTTTAAATAGCCAAAATTTGGATA